TAATCCATCATGACGATTATTTTTGATCGAAAAATTAAGAAATTACCAAATTACGGTCAAATTTTACCGAAAAAATATTAGAAAATAAAAGCCTAAATTTAAAGATTATTTTTATCGAAAAAATAAAAATCAGAAAATACCGATTTACAAAGCAAAATCAACAACAAAACCCGTCAGGCCGTGCGGGGGATGCAATTAACACCGCGTGAATATTTCTCCCGCGGCCTACTTTCGCATGTCAAAATGAATTGTGCCCGCTCAAAAATGCTGTGAATGGCGCATCTGGAGGTTAATGGATGAGGGTTATGTGGACGCCGTAACCCGAGTTTACATTTCTCTGTCAAAATGCTAATTTTACACCAATTTCAAATGGGTCCCCAGAAGAACTGGGCGATAAGGATTACGGTTACTAAACGATTAGAATTGCAGTAATCCCAACAAGCTAAATAATTTTTGAAATTGCGATTAAAGTAATCGTAATCCTAGATGCAATCGATTACACATGTAATCCTTATCACCCAGCTCTGGTCCCCAGGGCCTGTAGAGAGGTCAGGGAGAGGAAGATAAACTTTTCTCCGCCGCCATCGCAAAACCATTGCACAAATAACCGAACATTTCCCAATTCATTTTTTGAAAGCGGATTAATTTCACTTTTCAAAATGAATCAAAACCGCGCGACCTTCTTTCCGGTTTGGTGATTAATTGCGGTCTTAATAAACGCGGCCATAATTCCCGGAGCCATTTCGTGCACCAGGCAGAAAAACCTAATTCGGGAACGATATTTTAAATTTGATACATATGTATGTGAATACTGGAAAATTTTCCACTACATAAAATTACTTTAAAAATAAAAGGAAACGAAAATCTCCCACTTTTTTATTGTAGCAGGATAAGGCCATCTCCGACGGGTTTGGGGAGTAGGGGGAGGGATATTAGATGAGCTGATGTGAGTGGACATATAAAGAGGTGGTTAGTGTCGTCGGGGCATCTTATTCGAATTGGACTTGGCAGTTTAACTTACTACAACATCCAGATTGGAGTTGTGTCAAAGTAGCGCGAGCCCCACGAAGCAGCTCGAGCTCTTCGTCTATGATATGTATGTAGCGTTGGTCTCCGATGATCAAATTCAAGGGGTAAAAGTTGACGAAGTTGTTGATTGATTCTCGATGATGTCCTGTCTATAATAGACTATATTTAAATAGTCTGATTCAGCGGATGGTGTTTTCTCATTCCCAAAACAGTCGGACAGTTTTTCCCGGCAAAGGACTGTGGTTTAACGATCTAGTCTTTTTAAGGTCGATGAACCCCATTAAGAGAGAATTTTTTCATAATTTTTTTTTTCTGTTTTACTTTGAATTTGTTTTGAGTTATTGATTTTTAAATTAAAGCTTTACCTATTTTTAGCAGTGAAATTGTAATTTTGGTCATGATTTCTGACTAACAGTATGTGTTATGTTCAATAAAACCGGTTTATCCAGTTCTTTTTTAGCGTGAAGATAAGTTACCGGTTTTACCGAGTCCTAATAAGGCTGATTACAGGACAAAGTACACGTAAACGACATATGGCCACCACATGTATTGATGAGTCAATGTGTACATCTTGATTGTGTGGTGCAGTGAATTTGCTGCAACTTTCTGGCGTTCGCCAGACTCACATGGTGCATTTGAGGTGAGTTTATAAAAAATGCACGAGTTAGCTTCCTCTTCTTCGACAAACCACTAAGCAAGGCAAATTCATATAAGGTGATGTTACTGGAACAGCTGATTTACCTTGATATACAAAGTTTAAAATTTTTTAATCCGCAGAAATGGGTGAATGAGAAAATGAGAGTGTCCGTATTTTCTTTGCCTCTTCTGTTTTATTTTTTTACTACCGTCAAGATTCAACAAAGCTTCCGAAAAGTTTTCAAACATTGCCGGCGTAGCCGAGTGGTTAAAGCTGCGTACTTCCGCCCCGTAGGACAAAGGTGCGATCCCTGGTTTTTCCTAGGAGCGGTCGCCCCTCGGCAGGCAATGGCGAACCGCAGAGTATACTTCTGCCATAAACTTTTGCCCCGCATTAGGGATCACAAGCGGAATAAGCGTGAAGAGTACCTGAAGATCTGTAACTTCACCTCTGCTGGTAGAATTCTGTGGTTAATATACGGATTTGGTGTAATCCGATAAAGCGGGATAACAGAGATGAAATTTCACTCCGTAATTGTGCCTTATCGGGCGAGCTATTCGACAGATAAGGCCAACCATCGAGTGTTCAGAAGGCTACACAAACTGATAAATCCTGTGCGCCTTTTACGTTATCAGTATTGAAATTCTGACCAGTGATGGAGAAGTAGGCACAATAGTGTCATTTTTGGCACTTTCATTCACAAGGGCACTTTTGGTACAATTCATTCAGTTTTGGCACAATCATAAATTACAGAAGTTTAGCCAGTATATAACAAACAATCATATCGTCGTTTAAAGTACAAAACCGCGTGTCAACAAAATGCAAAACCGCGTATGTGAGGTTACATAAATTATTTTCTAGAGAGTAAAAACATTCATTTTTCAAAATGGTTCTCTTTTTTATAAAGCAATCGCATTTCTAGCTAGTAAATTTCAGAACGAACGGATAAGGATTGAGCCAAGAGCTTGTGTGAGTAGATCCATTTTTTGGCAGCAAATGTGAGTTACGCGGTTTCGCAGAATGCCGATACATGGTTTTGTACTTTAAAAGAAGATATATTACTCATAGATTCGAAAAGTGAAAATTAAAATCACTTAAAAATTAAAATAAGGGCCATTATATAAAATTAGTAAAAATTATTGAATGTATTCAAAATGTCGCACTGGTCCGGATGGTTATATTTAAGTGTTTTCCCCTTCGTAATTGGAATATTGTGTTATTTGAATATGATTTTACTCTAATAATTCAAAGAAGTACATTAAAAGTAAATAATATTTCTAGAAATACATACGTGGCTCTTAAAAAGCCTTAAAAGGAACCATTTTCAATTTTGTGGCACTTTTGTCTCCTTTTTGACACTATTTTCGCAGTCTATTAGGCACATTTTGTATTTTTGGAATTCCATCCCTCATCCGGACCATCGTAAAGCCAAAAGCTTCCAAATCCATTGGTCTCGAAGGAACATGCATGATACCGGTGAAAAATTTGGTCAAGCGATGGTAGGTAATCTTACCATTGGCTCATGGAAATTAGGGAGAGTTATTCCACATCATCCGATAACACTCGTCTTCCCAGTAGTGAAAACACTGGATCTCTTATTAACCATGTATTTCTAGTGACAACTGATCACGTGACTTCCTTTAACAGATATCCAGATAACTCGTGGCTTTAATCACAACTACCTGTGTAAGAGAGCCGTCCTTGTAGCCATGGAGCTAAAGAGGACTTTCCGCACTGTCTTACACTCCACGCTGCTAGAAGACAATGCCCCCTTCTCTAGCATAGGGACTCAAACGGTGGAATGGAAATTATCAACAATCGTCGTAATTTTAAGAGTTCAACCATCGAAAATCGGAAAATTTGATGAATCCAATGTGATATATCGTTTCTGCAGTGAATATAGCACAACCACTACGTTGAGGAAAAACTAAGCATGCCTTACGCCTACGATCGGTTAAAATAAGCCAAATGG